ATATCGTCGGTGAGCCAAAGCTGAACTAGAAAGTGAGGTTTAACGGGCGGGATATGTTGCTCAATTTTGCTTGTAACCCTTGTATGTCATTTACCGGTGTGCTATACTCATAAAAAAGGAAAAAAAGCTTTGCGTGGGGGTCCGAAGATGTGGTGCAATGGCTACTAATTGGAGAAAGTATGTAAGAAGACAACCATGTGAACACTTGTCAATGACAATAAAGTTCCATGCTAGCAGTTTGAGCGATGCTGGAAATCTTAACAATATGCATAATCCTTAAAAACACTGTTATTATTTTGTAGCGGCAGACTGTGGGAAATTATTTTAGCATTTACTAAAAAAAATATTTGCTTTTTTTTGAAATGCTTGAGCAACACTACTTTCCAGAAGTTCATCGACAATATTCTGCAACACAAAAGCACAGGCGGGCAATTTTCTCGTCTAATTGAAAAAAGATATCAGAATCCACGCAAAATAAAAAATATGAAAAACCGAAAGACAAAAAAAAAAAAAAAAATCAAAATAACATACCGTCCTCGACGTACAACAGCGCAATTGCGATCAAAATGAGCACCGAAACGAGAGCCAACACACTGGCAATGATCGTTATCCAGAGATGCCTTTTTTGTTTCCCGGTGGATTCCGGGGTACACGCACGTGTTCGTATACAGCCCATATTACCGTCTGCTACGTTACGATCGCCGATCGATGATAACCAGTCCGCCAACCATTCCTCGCCACAAACACACTGCCAGAGATTATCTGAAAGTATTTGCGTAAAGATGGCAAAATCATAAAATCCAGACCTATGCTGTCTTATACGAAGTCGCAGCACAACTACGCAAAACTATATGCCTCATAAACAGAAAGAAACATTCAAAAGAAACCGGAGTGCTGCCCTGGACCATATCAACAACCTCAAAACCCTGAGAATGAAGGGTCCGATTTTTTACCGTCTCGTACATAAAATGGCTTTATTTGTGGACTATTAAGACAGCCCGGGATAATGATGTGAGAATTCGACATAACTGAAGTTTCCAGGGTGCATACCGCTCGAAGCTGCATAAAATCCTCCTGCCAAAAAAAAAATTTGGACCGCACACCTCCAATTTAGATTCTATCGCCTGCTCAAAGTATATGCATCATTTCTTCAAAAACAGTCCTAGCGGTTCTTCGCAGATACCATTCTCAAAATGCAATTTCTGGTGGAATTGCAGGCTAATTATGCTGGCTAATTTAGCTAAATTTTGCGCCCATAATATAGTCTTTTCGTGTACAAATTCTGAAGGTAACAAAAGTGAAAGTGTGAGAAAGAACGCAAAAGCTATCAATGGTAGTGAGGAGAGGCCACCTGGCTCACTTCCGGCTGTCAGCATGGAAACCACATTTATCTTAGGAAGAGCCACATCTTTTCCAAGCACATCTTAAACTGTATTTCA